GATTTCAAAAATATAATTGAAAATATCAATGATCAACAGTTGAATTTTCTTGAAAAAATGACCTTTGACCCTATAACATTTTTTCTGCGAAAACTGGGACGGTCATTCCAAACGTGAGATGATGGACATAATTGACCTGCATCCTAAACGCGTTTTGCTGGGTGATCTTGCTGCAAAGGGCCACCAATTCGTCAAATATTAGTTATTTTCCGCTGAATGTCAAATGACATGTTACGTGAGTCGTCACACAACTAGTTCCCTCCTGGACAACCCTCGAGAAAGAGCCTTGTCGCGCGAACCTAAACCAAATTAAGATCCTGCTACCAAGCCACGCGGTAACAAAATAACAATAGACGTGCTTTAGCGTGCATCTTCGAACATGATTCACGCGGTAATTACAGTGCAACTACCAAGACCACCCGACAAAATTTACTACGAATGTAACAAATAAAAATCTCCGCGGTTAAAAACAGTTTTCCAAAAAATTTATCCGAAATGACCACAAAATCTGTTGCCTTTGTAATAAACAGCTTGATTAAATGGATAGGTTATTGGAAAACTATTGTTAACCTCCCGATTTTTATTCGATAAATTTGTGGAAAATTTTGTCAGGTGGCCTTGGTTGGAGCAGTCGTACTGTAGGTTTGGAGGGCACAAAAGAAGTGTTAAATTTGTTCGAGGAGCGCAGTACAACTCTTCTTAAGTTCGTATAGTTTCTTGAGCTTCTTCTCAACTCAGTGAACTCCAATTTTTTTTCCAAACATTATCTGAGAACAATTTGGCATGACATGTCATTGGCAAAGGATCTTGATGTTTCTATGGCAACCATGTTTCGACAAGCATGTTTTTCAAATTTTGAATTTAAGTGATCTTTTTTGAAGCAACCTTTACTTAGTCATCTTTGTCTTGATTGGTTTCAACTATTTTAAAACCATTTGAGTGGTTTTCTAACGTTTTACAAAATCCATGTAATCAAAGAGAGCGTCTGGCAGGACGTTCTATGTTATGCACCTCAAATGCTATAATTCTACCAGGTTTCATCGTAATATCTAACAATTTACGGATGGAAGCCTCAAAAAAGCCCGGCAGATCTACAAAAATAACTTGGCCTTAACATAGGTAATAAAGGGGAATGATTATGAAACTCGACAAATTTCTTTGTTGTATGTTTTTGTTCTCTCTTTTGGCATTGACCGTGCACAAAACACAATAGTTGTTTACTACTGACTGCGGAACTAACCAATAGAAATGTTTTGATTACGTAACTCATGCATAGTGTATGACGCAAAGCAAAAGATTGTGCACTGTCGTGGACCTTCCAACATAAATCTTGACTACTTTGCTTGCTCCTTTGATGTTTGCCGGGCTTCATAACCATTCCCCTCCATTAACTATGGCCTTAACAACACGAAAAAGATAATTACAATAGATGAAGGCTCTATTATAAGACTCAGAACGAGATATTTGAGTAGATACATTCTTTATTAAGTGATATTTCACGTTACAGAAACAACAAACATAGCTTTATGTAGCATACTCTATTCAGTTATTTGTTCAACAGAACAAGATAGAGCGGTCTTCAGCCGAGTGTCGTAAAAACTTAATTAATCAATCTGACCAATCAGACAGGACACAGACGGCTCAATGAACCAATGAAAACGCAAAGCAAATTCACGTGGCCGACGGAAAGGGCGGGAAAAACGCGTACGAGCGAATCACGATTGGTTTTGGATTTACTGTTGATTGGATGGCAAACTGGGGAGTGGCGCGAGATTTTTAAGCCAATCGTGAATCCTAGTACTGCAAAACAAAAGTAAATGCAAATCGCTTTTGACACTTAGGTGAAAACCACTTTAACATACGATAATAAAAGTTATAATCAACGGGGATACTACCCCTTACTTAAAAGGAAAATTTATTTCTAATAAAGTTAAACTTACAATCGTAACAGTAATAATGAATCGTAATAATCAATCATAACAGTAATAATGAATCG